ACCTTTACCATGCGACATCTCAGCTTGCGAATGCAAAGCACTTTGTATCCACAATAAACATCAGCATTCTTAATAGCAAACTAGAGAAGTGTTGAAGCATATCACAACTGGGGATTGTGTGTATTTTTGTGTGTGTATGCTGAGAGGTGCAACTGATTTGTGTGCGTGTGTGTTTTCTAGTCCCTGGACCAATAGACTCCATTCCAGAACATAATGGGATCAAAATATGAAACTAAGAAAAATGAAGGATGTTCATGAGCAAAAACATATTTCTTTCCGTAACAGTTAAAATAAAAATTTCATGTGCAAATCACCTGCATCTCATTTCAAGAAAACAAATTAAAAGTTTGTTTACTTTGAGGCCAAATGGTGCTCAGTAATATTAAGTACTCAGGTTAAAAATATATAATTTTATGGTTTTTTTTGGTGTGTCTACATTAAGTACTAATAGTTGACCTGTTACTAACACCAAAGTTAGACTACAGCTTTATTCTCATGCACAACATCCAGAAAAACCCTTTTTTCTAATCCTTTGAAGTACACCTGAACTGATGACTAAATATCTTACAAATGTCACTTGGGAAAGTGGTTCCTTAGGGATAATTTACTTTTCATACATGAGTTTGAATATTAAGTTTAATACATCTGCCCTAACAAATCCTCCAACGTTCAACCCCTACAGAGAACTCTGTTTACCCTGATACAGATCTAGACATGGGCCAAGTGTCCTACGAGGGCAGTGACTGTGAAATACTGAGAAAGAGTCCCATGAAGGATGTGCTGTTCCAGTTCTCATTCTTAGTACTTCCTCTCCCTGCTGTGCTATTACTTTGGGGCTCTGACTTGGCCCTTGTAAATTAAGTGTGATGGGCTTGGTTTCAAAGAGTCAGCTCCCGTTGCCAGGGGTTCCTGCTCCTGGGCATCAACATGTCCCATGGGCCTCATTTTTTTCCAGGTCAACTACTGATCAAGTTCTTTTGGAAATGCTTTCTTTTGAAATATCATTTTTTTGGAGGGCGGAGGACAGTCCCACAAACATCTTTAGAGAAGGCAAAATTTGAATAGGAATTACAGGAGGCTAGTTTTTTATAGCTTGGCTTCAGTTATTAGGGTAAATATACAAATCCTAACAAAGTTCCAGGGGAAGTCTTCAGATATGACCCACTGCTTTGTTCCCTGGAGGTACTTATGGATACCAGACACCACGCATATCTTTAAATGGGGTAGTCCCATCTAACAACTATGTAATAGTCAGTGATTCTGTATTAACTAAATTATGATTCACTCTAAACAACCTTTATCAATTTTATTTATTACATAGTAAAGTCAAGAGTATAGTAGCTAGTGTAATATAGATAATATTGTAAGGATAGTATTTTGATAGTAAAGTATACAACTTTACTATGCAAAAAATACTATAGTATGGCAGATATTTATACTATAGTGAAGCTGATTGTAAAGTCAAAATAAACATACTTCCTCTTTCATCTAAACTTTACATTCTATTGCAATACCAATGAAAGAATATATATTTAAAACAACTTTTAAAAATTTCTCAGCCAGAGAAAGTTTCTCACAAATGTGCTGGGTTGCTAAGGATACTGGAGAAAGGGTAGGAAGGAAGGCCATGACATTGATAGTAGTATAAACTACACTCTTTGCGTGGAAAGAAGATTCAGGAGAAATATCAAGCTATGGAGAAAGATGAGAGAAAATATGAAAGAAGAGATTCTACTTTTTTTTTGTCTCACAAGACCTGAACGTTTTCTTTAGAAGGTAACTTAAATAAATGACAATGACAGCAAGGTACAAGCTCTTTCACTCACTGATATTTATGGTTTGTAGATACAGTTACTTATAATTATCTCCCTCTTTTCTATTAGAATATATAGATGCTAAGTTTAACAGCATCAGTGTACCTGGCATCATTTTATCACCTAAAAACTGGAGAACCTATGTCAAAGTTCAATAACACAATAATTTCTGAGCATAGTTATTGACTTCCTGTAACTGAGAACTGTGATGGCTCAATCATTTTAACATTTCATTGTACATGTCCAGTAAACATTAGTCTGAAATAAAGTCTCTTTGAAAATGAAGAACTCTGTATATCATTATCTATTATAAAGATGGGTGCTAGTCATCACTGTTGTAATATTTCTAACCCAGTCACAGATACCCTTTCTGTGATGATCCTGATGGCATTTGTTTTAAAGTCTGCATTGACACCCAAGTCCTGACGTCCTATCCCAATTATATATCACACTCTCCCTCTTTTCTGAAGGATTTTGACCAAGCAGCAAGGTCTGGACATTTAAAACACACTGGACCAACAGAAGATTGCTAGTCATTTGTCTGCATTCTCTGGTTAAGCTTACATAGAAGGAAAGATTACTGTTTTCCTTTTCTTAAAGTCTCATGTTGCCTAAAGAATCAAAACAGCAGAGTTTGTGAGAAAAACCATAATTAATGACAGTGAAACACACATGGCTCACTGTGTCCATAGCTATTAACCTAAAGACCTGGTTAAAGAAGATAGATCCTATAGGAAAACACAGTCTTTCCTGAGCAGCTAAGGCAGAAAGGTGTCAAAGGCGCTCCTGAGCAGGTATGTACGCCCTCTGGATCTTGCTCTGACGAATGCAATTATTTTGAATTTGCTTCTGCAAACTAAATCATTTATTCAGAAGGTGCCTGCCTATTAGCCCATCTCTACATTAGTTCACCTCTTTTGCAACAGATGGGTCATAGTCAAATAAGAATGAGAATTTCAGCTTAATGAGCTTCTTGCTTAGCTGGGCTGGGGGTGAGGGAGTGAGGAGGTGGGGGTTAGGTGAATGCGGGTTAGCCTTCAGTGTCCCTGCAATGTTTTCAAAGACAGGACAAAATGCCTGTGGTTTTGGCATGCAGGGGCCAGCTTGCTCAGGAAATTGTGGCATGCATAAAATGAAGCACATAAACAAACTCTCCACCCAGGAAGCTGAGTTTAACAATTGCCTCATTAACAAGACCCAGGGAGGGACAGGAAAAGAGGGGGAAGCCAATAGCTGATGATTATACAGCTCTAGACAGATGAAGCCCTTCAGCTTCTCCCTAAACAATCCTGGTAGTGTGGATTCCACAAAGTGGCACATTTAAGAAGGAACTCTTGCCATCAATGCGAGTCAGGCGCACCCGTATCTGAGGGCCAAATTCAGTCCCTGGAACTTGACTTTATCAGTAGACACAAGACAGAGGACAAGGCAGCTACATCCACAGAGAATTAATTAAGAGCCAAAGCGACATCCAGTGAATGTAGTCAATAGTCTGAACACTGATGTACGTATCAGTCACCATTGCTATCTCTTCTATTTCTTTTAAATTATGTACACTAAGGTGCTCTTATAACTGCCATTTCAATAGAGACTTACATGCTACTTGGCCTCATTGAATTGACATATTTTCACATTGTATTATACAAAATACACCCTCAAAGACCAAACATCCTGATGTGAGTTTACGTTGCTGAATGGTTGTGGTCTTTTGGGTAAGATTTTGTCATGGATAAGTTATTAGTTTGGCTTTCTCCCTGCACATTTCTCCAGTCCCCTATAGGAGGGACGGTCACACGAACCTGGCTTCAGGATTGCCGAAGTCCACACCCAAATTTGTCTTCATTGGCTCATTGTGTTCTATCTCCTTTTAAAATGGCCCCTTATGAACATACCATAAAGCCCCTCACTAATTATGACAGTGCAGCTCACAGACACAGAATACTGGTTTAGAGCAACTTTTCCAGTGATGGCATTTGTTTTTTGTATCTGTCTCAAACCCTCCTCCACCCAACACACATGTCCAAAACACATCGCAGTCTCTTTCTGAAACCAATGAAAACAATCATAGAATTTATATTGCTTTCATCCCTGCTGGGCAATGGTACAGGTCTCATTACCTTCGTCTTTCAGAGGCTTACCAGAGACATCATTTTTCAAGACCAGGTTCTTGGGTAAGTCCTTTAGCAAAGATTCTGATTTCCTCTTGAATCTGTATCTGGGCTTTGTAGGAATCTCTCCTAAGCAGCACTGAGACCAGAGTGATTTGTCAGTCATCACGTTTGACTCCGGCTTTCCTCCTGCCCCAGCAATTCAACAGTATAGCCTTTATTGCTTGAGGAAAATAGGAAATTCTGCCTCCTGGACATAAACATGTGAATTCTCTATGTCCAGGACCAAAATGGTGAAAAGGGCAGATTTTACCAACATTTCCTTAAGAATGAAAGTCTCGCTTTGAACACATGTGGATTATCCGCATGTGTAATGTTTTGCTCATGACTCACTTTTTAGGGGTTTATGTGTGAACAGTTTTGGATTGCCACTGGCTCTCATTTTACAGATCTTACTTACACCACACTCCCTTTGCAACAGGCGAGAGTGTGACTTGAGTAAGCACCATAAATCAGAGCCCAGTTTCCCCTCTGATCCTGATTGCATTTATAAATAGACGTGGTTACAAAGCTAGCACCAATTCAACCTCAGGATAATCTAAAATATAATGATGCCATAATAAACGAAACACTGAAATGGAAAAAAAAGTGGTTTGCTAAGAAGAGTTTGAAGTTTTCTTACTCAAAAACTAGTAGGCAGGCATAATTTTAAAAAATAATGATAAAATGTGGAATTATTACTGACACAAGGAGAGTGTAGGTTCTAGCGGCCAAAAGAAGTTGATGAGATATAGAAGCCTTTGCTACCCACATTTTAGGCTCACTGGAAGCAGCTAGTGTTTAACCAGTTTGGTTTTTATATGGCCTTAAAAAATATACGTCAACTATGATTACTCTAAAATTTAAAAAAAAAAAAAGCATTACCTGATTGTTGACCAAAACCATGAAATGGAGAAAAAGAAAACAAACAAACAAACATACCATGTTCACAAACAAAACAAAGTAATTCTCTCAGGGACATCAGGGAAGGTGGAATATTATAACAACACATGTTACATTGTTATACTATTCCACCCACCTTAATGAGGACCCCTTGGGCGTGGCCACTCCATAGCCTTTGGAATCGAGGTTTCCTCCCACTTTCATGGTGTCGCAGGGCTTTCGCTGCTCGATGTACTCGTTCATCGTGGACTCCAGGAGGAAGGCGAACTTGCCCTTGGACTTGCGGACCCGCGCCACGCCCTCGGCCGTGGTCCTCGTGAACACCGACGGCTCGGCTGACCGCATGTAGGTCCACATTTTTTCATACACTGCTATTTTTGATCTCTGGGGGAAATGAAAGTAAAATTAAATACAGGAAAGAAGGGAGCAACACGTCAATATTGACAGGACCAAGATAAGAATAAAACCTTTTAGCATCTTTCCATTTGCCACACTAACATTGCTGTCTTACAAATAGAAAACAGCCTCTTACATCTACTTAAGGAGCTCACTGAAATGACATTTAAAAGTGGTATTTGAAGAAGCTGCTATCTCTTGCCGTAATAATTACCCTACTCGAGTGCTTAAAGAACAACTTAATATTTTTAAACGCAGAATGCTATAAAGAGAGACCAACAGCTACAGTCATGCTTTGTGTCACAGTCATGATAAACTTGAAAAGGACCTGGTGAAATTTAATTTTAGCTTGGTAAAATACCTTTCGATACAGTACTTGAGTTACAAGAAAGAAGGAGACTTGTTATATTGCTTTTTAAATTTTTTTTCATGCTTCAAAGTTTTAATGAAAACCATTCTAATAGGACGTATAGAAAAGCGCAGTCTATATCAAGTCGGTAATTGAGCACAAGGGAAGAAATCGCCATAGTTTACAAACCAAATATTCCTAACACAAGAATCAAACTCTAGGTTCACCAAAGCATTTTTAGACTTTTCCTAACAAAATCTCCAAATAGAACATACATTCAACTTTAAAGAGAAGTGATTCTTGTCTTTCCACTTTATATTTTGGAGAGTTAGTCATTCTAATTCCCTGATTTCAGCCAAGAAACGTATTTATTTCTGTCCACTTGGATTCTATCTACATTACTACCACTACTTAATTTACCCAGATCTGTTTGCCGGTATCTGCATTCATTTAGAAATTTTCACCCAAATGAACTCAAATGTCCCCCAAAAGATATATTTGATTAGATAGAAAAGGTTGACTCCTGTTTGATGTTTGATATTACAGTGTCATGCACAGACTTTTATCTGGTGCAATTGCATTTGTTCAATAACAAGGCGCTGACATTTTGTATCTGGATCCAAACAAAAAGTAATGGAGTCTTTTTTCAGACTTAAATCTACGCACGCGGCCAGATCCTGAGTAGAATGCACATTTATTTACATTGACCTTCCTCTGTTTACCAGAATATAGAACTCAGCAGGTCTTCAAAACGCAGTATCTTGAATGGCAAACTCAAGAACACATGGTTTGCGGCAAAAGCTAATTATCAGGTGGACCAAGCAAGAAGCTAATAAAAGTTGTAGTCACAATTTTGGTTTTATAAGATGGGAACTTAGTCAGTAAACCTATGTAATAAGCCACACACAGTAAGGGATATGCATCCTTGAACACCAAGAACCCCAGATATTTTATATTAATGTATATTCAAATGGTGATGAATATCAAGATGGGAAACAGACATCCTGCAGTGTCCTAGGAAATGTTTTATGTTATTAACACTGAAAAAAGTACGCCGTGATATGGAGACTGGGATGGGGGTGTGTGCTTCGGTAGTGAAGCTTACCTCTGGCTACAGAAACCCCCCGTTAGGAAGCTCCATGCGACTACAATTCAGCTGTCAAGAGTCTATGCGCTTCCAGGAGAGAGGAGTGTCTAGATCCACAATGAAGCCCACGAGGGAGCTGTGCTGCCAGGCTTCATTCACTCCGGCTTTAATAATTGAGTTACCTCCCAGAGAACAGGCTCTCTCATTTTACAAGTTCCAGTCTCTGAAAATTATAAACTCTTTGGCTCACTCGGTATAGATTGTCCTTAAATATCTGTTTCAATCATTTCAACTTAGGGAAGTGTTGCTAAACACCCTTTAGGCATACAATGACTTTTAAAAATAAATTGATAACTTGAGCGTTTCACCCAGAAAGATATAGAGTCCCACATATGTTGTATATTTCACACTGTATACTATGCTGAAAACGGAAGAAATAAAATCTATGGGGGTATGATTTTAATTGAAATATGTTTTAAAAATATTTTTTGAAGTCATGCTAGTTACTTGATAATTTTCCAGTTACTATTCAGTATCTTATGAAAGGAACAAAGAATAGCAAAATAAAACTAACATAGCAAAAGGAAAAAGAATATTTTTAGAGCTTGGTCATTATAAAGACAATTTAACTGTAGAATGCAATGTAACAACAAAGCAAATAATTCTCTTTTAAGTAAGCAAGTGCCATTAGGGGACTGATATTTTTTAGATGTTCATTCCTATATTAATGTGAGGAATATTACTGCTGCATTTGTTTAAATATATTGAATTTACATGTACCTTAAGTTCAAAAGAAGTTGAATTAATTCCCCAAAATCTGGAAGAGGAATCCAAAGTGTAGTTATGCTAAACTTAGCAGGCCTTTAGAAATGGTAAAATACAGACTCCCGGTGGAAAATAAAGAAAAGATGAAAGCAATTTTATTGGAAAAACATTTACATGATCTGTCATTGTGTTAATATTTAGCAATTCTGATTTAAAGGGGCATGGTTTAGATAAGATCACAATCACATGGGGGAGGAGGTGGGTGGAGAGATTCGAGAAGCAAGGGCTGGAAATAATATCCCTTCGCCTTATCTGTGACTACCAGAGGGTGTTTACTAAGGAGTGAGGGTGTTTGCTAAGCAAGTCTTTATAAATTTGATGAGACAGGCTAAAATGAGGACATTTCTGCAGACCCAGCAAGCTTATAAATATAGTGATAATGGAACTTTTAAGTCCCTAAAACCTTCAACTCTGTTATTTACTTAAAGGTCAGGTTTGGGGAGTGAATATACTCAGTGTAATATATAATGCTAATATAAAGGTCATTATTTTTTGAAATTAATCTCAAACTTATTAGTTTCATCTTTAAACTCAAAGTATGGGAAACTATCTGATATAAAGCACTATTTCAGCGCTGGGAGGCAAGTTTTAAAAATGTGCTGTCTTTTTAATTTCTCGGTAGTTAAGTATTCTTCCATTTCTGCCTTTAATAGAAAATATGTACAAATGTCACTCATTGCAGTAAATATTTACGTTGCTATCAGGTGAACGATCTCCTGTTTCTAGCAGCTTGTGCGGCTAGACTAAGAGCTCGTCAGTGCACTTTTTGATAATGTTATAAGCCCCGAGAGAATCCACCTCATCTATGCACTCATGATTTCACTGATGACTGCAACAGGCACAGGATCAAATCTACACGGAGATGAAAATGAGCGTGTTCGAATGCGGTGTATGCAGAAATACCTCAACTGCAAAGCTGGCATTAAGCGACAAGCACAGGCTTTCTTTAAATACCTCGATGCTATGCTTAGCAAGGACGCACCGAACATGACCGTATACATTTCATAATGGGCCAAGGCCAGGCAAAAGCTGAACCAGGTGGATCCCCCCGCGGAGTCATTCTTTTGGCAGGTGGTTATAACTGCGACATTTTGGAAGCGCGGAGTGCAGGCCACTGCCCGAGGCAGCGGAGTGGAGCTGATAGATGTCCCATTACTGTGTTCCTACGAGAAAACGTTTTGACAAGCACAAAAATACCCTTCACGTTCTGTTTCCTCCACCTGTTAGACAAATGGTTTGTTTAAACCAGGTCACCGTTTGCGGGAAAGGAGGGAGAACACAGGGGAGAAAAGAAATGAGATTTTTATCAGGGCTCAGAGGTACGCACGCCTGGAAGTGGGCCACAAGGGAAAATTGTTTCCGTGTCCCATTAGGGTTCAGGCTGTTCTGCAACAATAAATACCCTCACTTATAAAACTCTTGCAACTTAAAAACTGAGATACCCTCACTTATAAAACTCTTGCAATTTAACAACTGAAGTTGGGCGGGAGAGAAAGGTCACAGGGCCTGGTGAGCTCACAGCTTGTATGAAAAGCTGTGTGAGTCTAGGGAGCAACTCTCTTTATTCCTTCAGTCCTTATCAATATATCCTGTTATCTACCTCACTAGGTTTTAGAGCTTGAGCATTTTTTTAAAGCTCTGTAAAAATGAGAAATAAACATTTTCAGTGTACTTGATACCAAAGTTTTACACTGAGTTATTTTTGAAATGTTTTCAAGGAATCAACCTGATGGTTCTTTCTCCCTTGTCACTCAAGGCAGAAGGAGTGACTGCAAATATCTGCTTTATTTACATGAACATCAGCCATCGTGTTTTCAGTAAAATGGAAGTTATAGCACAAACTTGTATTCTGTTTTGATGAATATAGGTAATGGTTTCTAGGCAAGGTTACTAAATTTTACCTGCCTGCTTTGGGTGGAAGCAGTTATAAACTTAGAGATTTCCAGCACGGTACTGAGATTTAGCTAAAATGTGTTAGAGCATTATGTTCCCATTATTAAGCTTTATAGACTGGGATGTACACGGTAAGTTAAACAAATCTGCCTAATTGCGTTTATTCATAGAATATTGTTAATAATATTTATTCTCATGACTATTATTTACAGTTTTTGCAAAATCTACAACTACTTTGTAATTAACTTATGAATTTTATATTATCTCTACTAGCTACACTACACATTGTTGGCAAGGACATTGTTCATTGTCTGGTGTCTTTTTATTTTATTTTTTTAAATTAAATTAAATTAAATTAAATTAAATTTTATTATTTAATTTTATTTTTTAAAAATGTCTTTATTGATTTCAGCAAGAGGAAGGGAGAGGGGAGAGAGAAACATTAATGATGAGAGTCATTGATCGGCTGCCTCCTGCTCGCCCCTACTGGCGATGGAGCCCGCAACCCGGGCATGTGCCCCGACCAGGAATCGAATCTCAACCTCCTGGATCCTAGGTCGATGCTCAACTGCTGAGCCATGCTGGCCAGGCTGGTGACTTTTTAAAACAATGCCCAGTGATGGGTTTGAGTGAGTTATTGAGTGATTTGTATTGATTTAGTATTATGTAAACATCTGTAACATATAAAGATATTATAATCAAATCATTTTAAAAAAGAGAAATATGTTACTGAAATTCAAGTACATGAAAGTTAAGCCTTGCTTAAGGAATAGGACATTTTGTTGTATTTCATTCCCAAGCTGGGTGAGAAAACAGTAAATATATGCATTTAAAATGAAAGTGTAATAATCTCTCAAGTACTGTATATAAGCATGAAACTTTATTTAAAGCACTACCATTTTCCTCCAAAAGCTTAGGAAATAAATGAAATATATCTTGTCTTCTTTAAGCAATTGAGATTAACACAAAATTTCTTCATTAATGTCACTCTGACGTCTAAAAAATGTTTTAGTTCTGAAGTCATGAAATGAACCCTGATCTCTGACCAGACATTACCAAGTGCATATTTCTGGATTTAAGTAGAACCAAAGTAAAAGAGATTCACTGATAAAAAGAAATTCATCCTCTAATGAAACAAGCAACTATAAAACAAAAACAACAGTAATACCTCCCATCCTAATGGCAAGCCAAAGGGATCCTATCCATATGTAAAATGCAATTATTTCCATTTGAACAATTTTATCTGCAAAAGCAGAGGAACTACCACAAACAAAACTCCATACACTGTCTTACAGCGGTGCCCAAAACTTAACAGACTTTGCTGCCATTAGCTTGTGAAATCCATTGTTACAAATGAGATTATAAAATAATGTACCTCATATAGGGATGACAACCTGCAATTAAGGTTTTGGGTTTCAAATGCAGGAAGTTAAATGTATTTTTTTTTTTTTTTAAAGCCCTGCTTTCATTTTTATGCTCTTAGCCCCAAAGCACACGTATATACAAACTTGCCAGATGCAACACCATAGCACGATCAGCACTGCAATCTTTTGGACAGATTATGCTATAAAGTTGTTGGAATTACCTTTCTGTTGTCACTCTTGCTTAGGGAGGGCCCCTCTTGCAACGTCAATAAACCAATTAGTTTTTGAAAATTCAAGTGGTTATAAAATCCACGTAGACCGTTACCAGTATTAAACACAGCAGTTACCACTGTGTCCCCAAACCTACCATGGCCGGAGCCCATAATGCCATCGCTGGCAGAATTATGCCCATTTCCTTGCTAGTTCTCCCTGGACTTACTCTGAAGAATTCCTTCGTGGACCCCGAGTCCAGCGTCCCGTAGGCGATCTCTGTTTGTTTGGCCAGGTCTTCCGCGCTCTCGATGGGCGAGACCATCCGCTCCACGGTGAGGAAAGCGGCGAGGTTGGCGGTGTAGGAGGAGATGATGATGAGCGTGAAGAACCACCACACTCCGCCCACGATCCGACCCGACAGGGACCTAAACAGGGACAAGGTCACGCGCATTTTCCTTCCTCCACCCAACCAGAGAAAGAGAAGAAACACCGTCCGTGCCCCACGCCCTGTGCGTAAAAGTAACAACCGCAATATTCTTTCAGTCCTTGATTACCTTCCAGAACAAGCCTAGCATTTCTGTGTACTTAGATGTTGCTTATGCTACATCAAGGGTATAAGGGCCACTGAAAATATGGAAACTTTTTCCTTTTATTGTTATTTGGCAGAAATAGGAACTGAATGCCTTTCCTAAATTCATGGATCCCTCCCCTCCTTAACATTAGCGTCTCTGCTATCAGAGTGCAGCCTGCAGACAGTCGAGATACCAGGCACAGTATCAGGCTTACTGGGGAGCATGTGCCAAGGAGGGGCCGGGCAACTGAGGTCTAGGATTGGTCTCGAAGTGATGGCAGTTGAGGACTTGTTCATACCTCAGATCTGATGGGAGTGAAGGTTGAGTTATGTCCTAAAGCATCTTTACCTACTGGTATGAAAATGTTCTCTCTGGCGCTGCCAACATGAGACAAAATGTGTGCCTTATCATTATGGAGCAACAGCATTAAAAACTGATGCTAAATCTGAAAAACACAGTTTTCTTTCACCCCTTCTCTGGCTGTCAGGGATGTGTGAATGCAGAGGAAAAATGAGAATTATTCAAATAAAAAATTCAGGGCATATTCCTAATTCATCTCACTCATTGGGAGCATAAAAACTATTTTAAATTCCTGTGAAAGATTGTATTTAAACATTAAAATGTGAGGACAAATTTCATGTTTTCCATGGTATTTCTAGCTTTAAAAGGCTCTCATCTTAACCGTTATCATGGAAGTGGCACTTGTTGGTTTTAATTTAGGATTTGCTTAATCCTGGTTTAAAAACCATCACTGGATTTGCTTTGATTTCATTTCATGGATTGAGAGTTGGTTATTTAAATTTCCATGTTGGAATTTAAGCACATTTACAGTTTCCATGGGTTTTAAGGAATACAAACTGTACTGTAGGTAAATTGTCTCTTTTTAAGAATGTACACATTTCTTTAAAAAATCAGTATATTTGCAATGCTAATATGTCACTACTTAGATTTAATTCTCAGTTTCTCCTGCCTTCAGCTATCTTTTCTATGGGCAAAATTGGTATTTTTTTCTGCACAGGAGATTGGCTGCATTTTTGGCAAACAAAAATGAAAAATGTCTCAGTGGCATCCAAAGAAAGTGAGCTATGACTCCACAGATAGTGAAAACCATCTCTATGAAACTAACATAGAAGTTGCATTGCTGACCCTTTGCCTACTGCTTAGCTTGTTATGTACTGTTTTGCAGAACAGTGCATATTTGATACCTACTACACGGACTCAGGTTTTAGGTAATGCCATGACAAAAATCTCCCTGCTATTACATGGAACTTAAAGCAAATTCAAAATTAATTATAAAAAATTAAAAACAGCAACAATAACAAAAACATTTGATTTTTAAAAGGAGACAAAATGAAAATCAATCTTATTTTTACAATTTAGATTTTAGTTCCCATCTGTCAAACCTTCGAAGGAAATATTAAGTAATTTTTGAGAGTTCTAATGGGTTGCATAAGTTAGTTTTCCATCAGATGTATCCGTATTTTATGTTAACTTGGAAAATTTGGCTATGAATATGCTTAGATTAATTTGGGAATTACAGGATTTTTTTTCTGTGTTTCAAGTAATGCTCTGCATCCAGGAACAAAACATGAAGACAGATGATCTGCACAACACTTAGCATTACTGGCGAGTCAGTGAACAAGTGTTGAAACTAACCTGGGTGAAATGTCACATCCTTGCTGCATAAAAGCACCCAGGGAAAACCAGAGGCTGTTAAAGATGCCAAACTCATTGGGAGGCTGGTCGCTGGGTCCTTCCTTTCCATCCTCTGGCTCTTCTGTGTGCCACTCATATGGACTAAACCTACTAACTAGGAACAAGACCACGCTGACACCAATGTAGGCAAAGACTATGCACATCCAGATCTCATAGGCCAGAGGATCCAAGAAGGAAAACACTCCTGGTTTAGATTTCTGAGGCTTTTTGATCATGATAGATATGCCCAAACTCATGAAGGGCTTAGAGAAGTCAATGACCTCCTCTCGGACCAAAGTGATTGTCAGAGGGGCAATAGCAATCTCTGCTTTCTATAAGAGAAAAGACACATGAAAACACACAAGTTAACAGATTTCATGAAGCAATTAGCACTGGATTGATCCACTCAAAGCTAACCAGTTACACATTAATTCTAGAATTTCTTTCCCAATTGCCAATAATGAGTGAGGTCAGTGATAAATACAAAGATGAACAGTTGACTTGTTTTTGCAAGATAATCTATCACTTAAATTCCACAAAATATCGGTGCTAGTAATTAGATAAGAGAGAGAAATGGAGAAACAGTAGACATACGCAAAATTAGCTTCAACTCAGATAACTGTATTAGTTATTTTTTTTTAACCCTCATCGAAGGATATTTTTTCCATTGCTTTTCAGAGAGAGTGGAAGGGAGAGAGACAGAAAAATCCACGTGAGAGAGACACACTGATTGGTTGCCTCCCGCATGGGGATGGGAGCCTGCGACTGAGGTACGAGCCCTTGGCTGGAATCGAACCTGGGACCCTTCCGTCTGCGGGCCGACGCTCTAACCACTGAACAAACCTGCCAGGGCTATTAGTTTTTCAGGATCTAGGCCACAAGAGGAAGAGACTTAATAGCATTTCCTCATGGCCAAATTTCTGCATTTCTTGGCCAGGAATGCTACGTTGCAGTCTTTCTGTTTCATTTGAAATGTTGCCACTGATTCATTCCCTGGCCACCCCTTAATATTATGCATTACAAATTTCAGACAGTCCTTTCTGGTTATGAGAAAACCTGCCATCAAGCCTGCGTTTGTAAGACAGAAGGAACCCACTGTTTGACAGCATTTTCCAATTGAGCGCACACACAAAAATCTGGAAATTGGCGTTTATTTCTTCCTATCTGCACACTTTTGATTTTTCAGTTTTTAAAAAAGATATTGGAAGGCAGTGGATTCAATTCTCAGGTATTATGCTCATAAGGCACCAGCTTCCATTTTGGTTCTGCGATTTTTAGCTATTTTTCTGGGCCTATTTCTGTTTCTCTAAAATGAGGACACTCTCTTCCTTTCCCTCATCGGATTACTGTGATTGTCTATTTAAAAAAACCTTAACAAAGTGCGAGCGTTTGTGGAGAGAGTGCGTGTCCGATGCTAATCTAAATATTTACACGGCTTCCGAGCTAACCCCCAGGGCAAGCGCATGTTTATCACTGTACAGATGCTGAAGCTGAGGCCCAGGCGAGCCTTGCACGCCGTGGCCACTCTGCGGTTTGACCTTGTGCCCCTTGCATGAAATCAAACGAAATAGAGTGTGAAAAACCTGGAAATGGTTACACAGTCTACAAATGGGAAAAAAGAGGTTTTTTGATGGCTTATTTTCAAAGGAAAGTGTTCAGCACTAAAACGGGATCTGGGTCATAGCCAGATAGACACGTTCTCAGTAGAGGCCGCCGCTCCTGCGTCCACTGCTCAGGTCCTCAGGCCCCTGGTTCCAGGCGGCCGGTGCTCGGCCCAGGGCTCCTGGAGGCTGAGCCTGGGGGTGCACCCTGGCCCTCAGGCCTCCCGCAGGGCGCCCGAGAATTCACTGTATGTGCCTTCAAGTGGGGAGACACTTAGTTCACATCACAAACACCCAGATATGTAAAAGCCAGGGTCACTGCTCCTTGGTTATTACCTTCCCAGAAGTTATTTTACACAAGCGATATGTGAACTGGTTATAGAAACATTAGCGTATAAAGACAGAACCAGAAAGTTAAGGGAAGATATCTTTATTCCCTTCACCTACTCTTATTTTGTCTTTATATATGCCTTGCTAGACATTGTTTTATAAATAATAATTTTCTTATTTTAAAACAGAATAATGCAGAACATTACCTTTCTCAAGGGAATGCAATGAACTCATTTTCATTTAAAAATATACATTTAAAATAAGTTTTAATGATTGCAAATATTTTATCATGTGAAAATACCATAAATTATGGAATCAATTTTTATTTGGGGGGAGGTGTTATTTTCAGTTTTATACAATTTAGAACACAAGTGACGTGAACGTCTTTGAAGACAAATCCTTGCACACATCTTATTTCAGATAAATTTCTAGAAATGGGAGTGCTAGTCTAAATGGTAACAATCCTTCTAATACTCATAATATATTTGCTCCACTTTTCTCCAGAAAAGTTATGCAAAATTTCTACTTTCCCCAGCACTGTGTGAATGTACCTGCAGCTTTAAATCTTGGCCAACCCTGTGTATCTTTATTCTCATTTATATTCACCAATTTGCTAGATGGCAAATTAGATCACATTGTATTAATTTGAATTTGCTTTTATTAAACAAATAGCCCCTTTTACTTCTTTTATGTGTTACCTGCCATAATCTGCCCCTATTTTCCATATGGGGTATTTATTTTTTTACTTACCAATTTCTAAGTGCTTTTAAATCTGTTCAAAATACTCTTTTGTTTTCCACATATGGTGCAAATATTTTTTGCTATTCATCAATTGTTTTGTTTCCATAAGATTTTCAACCTTTTTCATCTCATGGGACACATAAACTAAATACTAAAATTCTGTGACAAAAAAATAGGTGTAATTTTCATTCATTTACACTGTTTTACACTGGACTGTTGTTGTGTTGGCTGTTGTCATTTTTTTATTTGACAGTCTAAGGGAAAAGGGGTCAGGGCCTGACTAAATAATCAGGTATTGCATATTTTAAAAATTCTTGCAGCACACTGGTTGAAAATTGTTGACTTATTTCATGGTAGTTTACTACAATGAATTGTATACAAATTTTACATTTTGTTGAAGCCGTATAAAATTATCTTTTTGTGTTTTCAGCCTTTGGTTTCATGCTTAGAAAAAAACTGATATCATATGATCAATCTCAAATATATATATATATATACACATATAATCATGTATTTTAATCTAGCATCTATAACTATAATTTCTCTATAACTTATTTGGTACATTGTATGATGCTATGTTGCAAAATTGTTAATTTTTCTAGTAGCTGTTTAGCAGTCTTAACAGGAATAAGTGAATAAGGCATCCTCTCATTGATTTGAAACACCACCTTCATGTGCTACCTTGTGTGTAGTATCTTTTGAAAATTTTTATTTATACCAATTACCACTAATGAGGGTAAAAACCTTAAAAGGAAAGAAACATGGAAAGAAATAAAAGAGTCTCCAGCATAAAAAAGTAGATGCAAAGGAAGATAAACATTGGATGCAAGTGGTGACAGTGATGTTCACTGAGGACACTTTCAAAGTCGGAAATTTGTGTTTTGAAAGAGGCTAGTGAACAAAGAAGATACATCTGGGCTTTCTCTACTAACACTGGATGTCTTGTGTGTGCCGTTTCATTACCTCTCAGCAATTCCCAAAGTTAAGTGTAAATATCTCCTGCAAGAGCTTGATAATATTTGGATTCTTGAGGATCTCTGGAGTGAGATTCATGAACCAGCATTTAAACGCATACCACAGGTAATTCTGGTGCAGATAGGCTATGGAGCATACTTTGAGAAATAGCCCCTTGAATTAAAATATAAGATCCTGGAGCAGCGCACTACAGAGCACAGGATGGACTTGAGCAGGTGTGACAGGCACACAGGACCTGAGTGTAAGGGAGGCTCTGAGCTCCTGAGTCACACCTGTGGTTGCAGAGATCCCAGGTGAGTGTATCACAGATCATCTATTCTAACAATTACAGTAACAAAGTTCACAAAGAATAAACTACTAATAATAATGATGATGGACTCAAAGTTAATGATTTTGTTGTCTAACAGGCTCTGTTGGGCAGGAGAGAATGGGTGGAGGGTTCCCTCAGGCTCTGGAAGCTGGGCATTTGTGTATGTGTCAGCAGTAAGAAAAACAACAGATGACAAACAAGTACAGACTTTGCAGACACCAGAATGGAAAATACCAAATCTGCAGAAAGTGGAAGAGACATGGAAGATGATTTCTTTGGGGGAAAAAGTGAACAACCGAAGTGGCAGGGATGGGATGTTTAAACCCTCTCAGGTTGGCTGATGAATGAATATAACAAGAATCAGTAACCACTATGTGATATTCATTTTCTCTGCGAACTGCCTGGCTTCTTCTGATTATCGTGACACATGTACTATTGATAAATTTTGTTTTTAATTGTACTACTGTCTTCATATCTTTTGCTTTCATCACTTAAAAAATATACCCCTAATAAAATATGGTCAGAACCCTTGCAAAGGGGTGAGCTTGGGCTGCCCAAATGGCAGGGACCCTAGAGAAGATACATATAACAAATGCCTTAGGAAATAACTCAGGTTAGTTTCCCCATGCATACTAATTAGTAATCTAATTTTTTTTGAGGTGAAATACTCAACAGTGTTTTCTGAAGGAAATAAATTACAGTAGTTCTAACAGCTGGAATAATGTTCACATTTAAAATTGGCTTATCGTATCCAAAGTTTAATATATTACCAAGAAACACAAGCTCTAGGAATCTTTTTCCTTAGGAACTTAAAGCTCAGTATCAAATCGATCATGAGCCTGTGGTAAAATACTTTTTGATGTTTTACAACTTCATTTCCCCCCCTCGTTTAAGTCACCTACCTAGTCAGCAGTTCTTTCCAATAGATATAAAACTAACGGACTCCTCCTCAGTGTCACACAGTTTCCTCCTGCTGCTGAGATCACAGCTACGAGGCTGCACTGTGTGGAGAATGTTCATTGCTCATGGGTTGAGAAGCAGGACTCGGAATCATGAAACTCCGGCTTGGAAAGTAAGCCTGTGTAAGGCTTCATTTATGTTCCGAACCGGCCTACCTTTATCCTTCTCTGGGGAACCAAGACTTTCATATAATCCTTGCAAAGGGGCCTTGTGAGGATTAATCGCACAGAATATGCTTTGAAGGTGACATTTGTGAAATATGAGTTGGCTTATAGGAAATTTCGGAATAAATTTCAAGTGTATGTGACTTTTGTTCACTATTACTCCATGAATAAAACTTACTCTTCTAGGCCGGGTCTCTGGACTCAGGAAATATCGTAGCCTCACTGGCATCTGATAACTGCCGGCTTGATTTAGAGACTTTGCAGCAGTAGCTGAAGAGACCGATCTTGTTCTGATTCAGGCAGGAATGTCTACATTGAATTTGCCCTTGGCTATAAATGCGTGCACTTAATATCGAGTGGACAGAAAAGGAAGGGCTTCACGTGAAATAAATCCTGGCTTTTGTGTTTTGCTAGGTGTGAAAAAATGATGGCATTGTATAAAGCTTAAATTTACTGTGTTCAGCAGGATTGCAGAATCTCACATTATTGGTGAATAGTTTATAGATGCTAAAGCAGTTTAGTGATCGCTTCACCAATTACTTAAAAGACACTTACCACTGATTACAACCAATGGGGATATAAATAACTAGCTAACATGAGGCCCATCTTTATGCTATTGCAGGAAAGCTGTTGCTACAATGATCAGATAGCAGATTACTAATGCATTGGTTTTGTAGTTCTCAAAACAGCATGCCTATGGACTCGGACAATCAACCGTGAAAGAATTATCATCATAGACACTGAAGTTAGTGTTTTTTTGTTGTTGTTCTGATAGGACATCATATTCTGAATTTTTATCTTTTTTCTGATTTTGAAGTTACCAAGGGTTAGTTTTTCCCATTGTTTGGGAATTGATTAGTAATGATAGAGAAATGGTTGCACATCATATATGTCTTTTTGAATGTAACTCAAATTAAAAAACACACAGTAATAGACATTTAAGAATTGGTATGTGCCCAAGTAAAAAAAAAAGTTTCAGGTTTATGTAAATAAGTTCTTCAATGAATTGATTTGCTTACCCCATAAACAAGTTCTCCTACCATCCCATTCCAGATTTTTGTGTCTGCATCCCTTGCTCCATACTTTCCATCAGGGACAATGGCAATTTTATACTTGATACCAATATGTTTTGCAATTTCAGATGCCAAATCTACACAGTAGCCTTCATACTTGTCATTTCCTTCAAACATTTCGTGATTTTTCTTGTACATAACATATGGGGATTCCTATAATGAGAGAAGTAGAACTGTAAAGGAGGAATTAGAAAACATCCGAAAACCTTTATGTCATTTTCCAGTTTCAGAATTTGACAAAAATGTTATATTTAGTATTGTACACACACTGATTTTGTGTGGCTAGAAAGCAGTAGTAAAATAGGTGAATATATAAACAAATATGCTTAGAAGTACGTTAAACTGCTTACACTACATACTAAATGTCAGGTCTTTAAAATAATTTTCTATTGAGTAATTATTACATACCTAGCACTGTAACTGTGATAGGAAACATATCCATTAATATCTTTTGGCAATGAAATTATTAGTTCCAAATTATCACGTGAATTTAAAGACTATTTAAATCAGCTTCACGTAACAAAAGACTAATGTCAGGTCACCTCTCTCTGTCTCTGCATCTTGTTTAGTCACAGTCAACTGCGACCCCCTTTAGCAAAAGAACTAGATCACTTTTCTTTGCTCTCTAGCATTTAGCAATATGCCCTTCTCAGAGCAGGTACTAGCAAGTTCAAAGAAGAAATGAATTAACAGTTTAAAAATTGTATATACTTATTTGTATTAAGCTGGTTTTCCTAAAATTGTCCAATATTTTGGATTTAATTGGGGTTTTGTTCTATGAATTTTTATTCTATTATACTATATGTCTCCAATGGAAGCCAATAATTTCCCCCCAATTGTGACTATCACACACTTCAAGCGATAGTCCCATTTGGTTGTGAAACAAGTAAAACAGAAAATAAGATGAAGAATTATTGTCAAAATACATATAAAATGAAAAAGTTTACTGGTGGCTAATAATAACTGGACAGTTTTCAGTTAAAGCACACACGTACACACACGCGCGCACACACACACATACATACACACCCCTAATCCAAACTGTTTAAAAGCCGTGAACTAAAAGACATGATAGCAAAAACACATTTGATTTTATAAATGGAAACTGAAGCCACCAACTAAAAGACAACCCTGGTGAACATGCAATTTATGTGAAGTCCTGGGCATACCTCAGAAATTTTAGTTATTTGCAGACAAGAAATGACCACTTTTGGCCACAACATCATTGAGATTGTGTATTTATATTTTATAAAATTGTATGGTAACATTCATTTCATAATTTTGATACAAATATTTTCTTTTATCCCAGCAAATTTGTAATTGTTTGTAATTGTGGAAGTTTAACTTGCTCTTAGAACTGTGAATTAGAGTGTAATTTACTTTGCATAATGTGGCAGCCTACACTTAGCATTTTTCTTAAAGTACTTGGTAAATGTAGAAACTACTTTTAAAAACTTAATTAAGAATGTAAATTAAATGATATATGGTTTTCTCATAGAGATGTTCGAAAGAACTCTACTGCGGGCAATTGCCCAGCACTGGTCCTTGTATTATTTTTCCTAAATTCTGCTGTGGGTTGGCATGACTTGGTGACCCAGAAGTCTCTTACTTGTCCTTTGAATTAGGTGAATATTTTAACAGTGGAAAGTTTATCTATCTATAAAATTAAGGCAACTAATCGTTTTTCTTTAGATAAAAATTATTAGTTTACAGAAAACATTCTCTAAATATAGAGTTTTCCAAATTATTAATGTGGTCATGAAAATTGGGGAGTTGTTGCAAAGCACTGTTAATTTCTAAGACATGCTATAAAAATATTAGTAGTTAAAAAGAGTTAATCTTTTCATTTTTCTCTTTTTTCCCTTGCAATAGCTAATTAAAATATGGAAGAATATGTAGAAAAAAACAAGAATCACACATTGTAAAATGCTTAATGTTCTAATTGAAATCACTATATAGCTCTCACCTATAGCTATTAATATAACAAACCTAACAGGTTTTCAAATGAGAGTATAGCTAATGCTCAAATTTGTTACTAAGACTGAGTATCTATTTTATAGTGTCTGGAACTTTTGAACACTTATGAACTTATATATATATGTATATGTATATAATCATTTAGCTTGTGTGCAGAAGTTTCTCTGGCTAGTATTATCATCTGATTTGCTAAATTCTCTCTACATTATTTTGTGAACTGTTGCTGCATTAAAAACTGTACTTTTATTGTTTACTCAAACATTTATTAAACACCCACTGTGTGCCAGGCAGTTTGCTGGGATCTAAGGGTACAAAAATAAATAAAACGTGCCCCTCATCCTCTTGAGATTAATTAGGTTAAATTCTTTTTAATAAGGGTGAAGGAGTGAGTGGTGGGGACAGTAATCAAAGTGATGGAAAAATAAGAATACCTCTGACTTATTTAGTGCTGACCTTTGTCAGGTACAAGGCTAAGTTCTTCAATTGTGCCCTTTCATTGACTTTTCACGCTGACATTTTGACGTAGGCATCTCCCATTTCGCAGATGGAACATTTAAGGCTCAAGGAGGTTAAGCAAATGGTTCAGTTTCACAGAACCAGCAGAAGTGTGAGTTGAACCCATATTTTGAAATATCTGAAAGTATTTGAAGCTATTACTGCATCTCTCAAAATACGTGCAACTATTTGAGATTTCATATGCTTTACCAAGAAAAAGGGGCAAGATTAAAGAAGTGGATTTCTGTATTTTGAGAGAATGAGCTTCTTTACATGAAATCTTGAGTAAGCAATGTCGATAAAACCTTTCCCCATCTCCTCAGAGTGCCTAGTATATATAAAGCACTCAAGAAATATCACAACTTCCTGCTCTATCTGGCTTCCTAAATAGAAATATCATGGCAAAGTAATCACATTAGAACCGTTGGTTCAGGTCTTCAAAAGGAAAGTAAATGTTAACACGTGCCAGATCATCTCTTCTGAAACACGTGTATGTGCATATAAGTTAAAAAAGTATATTGTGTCTTCTTTCATTTTTTTTTTTCAATTTCCTTTAGACAGCAGGGCCCCATCATGACTTTGTTTCCTTGCCAAACAAACCAACAAAGGGCAGACAAGACTTCAGTTTACTGAAGATGCTGATTAGAAACTTAGCTATGCTTTTCACACAGCCGGGGCCTGTACCACTTTGACATTCAGGGGAGCGGTGCAGCGACACAAGAGAAATGAGAGGAACTTACTCAGAGAGGCGGTAGGACAGAGGCAGGGAAAGGCTCTCCTGGCCGCTCAGCTCTCCCCAGGGCCTCTGAGGGGGTCTGTTTCCTTTCCCCAAAGAGCAGCAAACCCTCAGCACTCTCCCCGCCTCCTCTGGCCCCAGCCCCAGTCTGACAATTTGTCCACAAGTAGCCCTTCAAATACTGCATACTGGGGAGATTTAATACAAAGTATTGGGGCTACTATGGGTGAAGAAAATACCAAATCTTTTTATATAATATAAAACTAGTTCTAGCGAATCATTAAGGGGACTTGTGGGACATCTTTGAGAGGCAGCCTTATGGAGTCTCAGGTGTTCAGTTGTGAATAAAAATGGAATGATCAGAGAAGTGGAATGTAACCTCTTACTTTTAAGACGATAACCTTCCATCTTTGTTACCGACTACTATGCCCTGTGGGACAATAATACCTTAGAACTTATTTTAAATGCATTACTTCTTAGTAATTACAACTTTATTACTATAATTTCCATAATGGATAGTGCTCTACATCTGCTCTGCTATTTCAGGAAAGAAACCAATCACTGCCTAAAGGTGTTATGCTGGGCCTTGCTTAAGAAAACATTGGTGTAAATGAATCGAGATGATTTTCAATCATTGAAGTATCATTTTCCTACTGAGAAAAATCTTTTGGATTATTTGCATTTAGCAAATGACTACACAATTTTATTTAAAATAACTTACTTAAAAACTAATTGTTATAATCCCTTCTGAGGGGATATATATTTATATATATACATATATGGGAGATATTAATAATTGTTACAGGGAAGAAAAGAAATACATCTATATTTTCTGTATACAGGATGTGGGAAAAAGTAGATTTACAGTTGTTCAAATGGAAAATGATACAATGATTAATAAATAATAATACAACAATAAACTGTGTTTTACATACTCCCCATTGTAAAGCTACTTTTGCCCACCACCTGTATGGTGTGTGCGTGTGTGCGTGCGTGCGTGTGTGTGTGTGTGTGTGTGTGTAGACTGCTTTATGTTCACCTGTTTTTATTTATAGTACATCTACAAAATTCTAGATAGAGAAGATAAAGTATCAAAGATCTCCTAAGAAGTACAAAAAGTGACCTGTAAAAAGGTCAAGTGTGATAAGTAAAATAGCTTTTAGGTTTGTTATCATAATTCTGACAGTGTAGCAAATACATGTGAATTTATGGAGGAAAAATTTCCTAGAGGATTGTTATGTTTGTAAGATGATAAGAAATACTTTCTTGGTTGAGTGATGGAGCATAAGCATCATTTAACCTCGGTAGCAAAGATTTGGGGGAAATTGGGTTTGGCTGAAATATCATTGCATCATTTCTCCTGTTCCAGAGAGGTCAGCAGTCAAGGAAAGCAGTCAGATTACAGAGGAAAACACCCTCTCCTTCCCCAAGGCCTACTGCCAACTGCCTTTTCCTCAATTGCTGCACAGCCCAAACCACATGGCACATATCTGGCTTCCTTAGGTGGTTTGCAGAAATTATTATTTTGAAAGTAAAAAGTTAAATCTATGTGTTAACATTCTCACAAGTTTTACAGATTTTATAAAATCTTTAGTCACTATGATTTAAGATAAAAAACTAGCATCTGAATCCAAGACTTTAGAGCTTTCATCTTTGTAGCCATGATTCTCATTTGATAATATTTCACTTTTTGTTTAGATTTAGCTAAGTTAAATTCTGTAAGGCTATATTCAGGTAGAATAAGTTAGACATTAAAATGAAGATCACATTATAGATATACAACATTGTTATAAAAAATAAATTTCAACAGTGCAAAACATTAAAGCTACATCTTAGTTAAGAATGATATGTCGCATATTTATTATCTCTTGTCTGCTTTCTGTCACTAGAATATAAGTTTTCTGAATGTAGGATTTTTGTCTTTTTTTAAAATCTTACATATCTCCGGACTTCCAACTGTGCCTAGCACATAGTAGACGCTTAATAAATATTTATGAAGGAATGAATAAATGAATTTATCAATCAATTTTATTTAACAATAGCATATATCATTACATATGTAGCAACATATAAATAACAACATACACAGAGAAAAGACAAATGGGAGAACAGCAACGCCATATCAATTCAATCAGAATGAATGATTTCCAGTGCCAGCACACCCTCAGCCTTCTTGTGTCTAGATATCTGTCTTGCACATATTACAATGTCTAACCAATTCCATCTGTACTGGGAGTTTTCAATTGAATTTGGGGGATAATTACATGCAGATGCCAATATCTCATTCATCTACAAGGAACCATATATTTTTCAAAATGAATGAGGTGGTAGAGATGTCCCAGGTCCCAGGCTACCATTTTCAACAAAAGCAAATACAAGAACACTTTCAGGGAAAGGATTCTGGTATTAATTTTTTTTTTTAATTATAGAATAACTATGCAGTTACAAAGACAAGAGGTATTATGTATATGAAGAGTACAGTTTTATACAAAAGGCAGATACTAGTGTTGCACTAACTTGATAGCAAAAATATTGATTATATCACTGTCAAACAACAGATAATTTTACAGAATATTCTTTATCTATATAGGAAACAGTAGGATTTTTTCAATCAATTTTTCTTATTTTTTGATAGCATGCTTCCAGAATACTAGTCATGCCTGCAAAATTAACTCAATATTTTGCTTTTAAGCATTTTATCTCCAGCCCCTTTATTACTAGGGATAGAGAGGAGGTTCTCTACATTATACCTATGATGCACATTAGAACACTTTATTTCACACAGAACAAACAAAGTTTCAAGAAATATTTAAAGAAAATGTTGAATATTCAGAAAACAAGCACACAGATTCATATTTGCTTTTAGAAAATCTACTTGGAATTAGGAGTGATATCATTCCATTATTTACGTACAATGACCTCATTTCAAGGTATGGGAACTGATATGTCAGAATCCTAAGTGATTTTTTTTCAACATCTACTTATTTTCTTGAGAAAGATGAAGATTAATTCTTCTTTTGTTCTTGTTTCTCAGAAAAGTCACAGAACTTAAAATTTTTTTTCTTTCTGGTAGTCCAGAGTTGGTCATCCAGGAAGAATCCCACATGGAAAACTAGATTAAATTTACTACACAGCAGAACAAGACGTGAGCCTTGTTAGGAACGGTGGCACCTCGTGGAACTCATTTCTTTCTCGATCAATTTCTTAAAATAGGGTTCTTCATCAGAGGCTGAAAAGAGGAGGGCTGTACTGAAGCATGGCTTTCCATTACCGGGTCTTTTTTAGGAAAAGAAATGTATGTATGTATTGCTTTCCAAGTCCCACGCAAGCATCACACAATTATGTTAGAAGGTATATACTTTGCACTCTACACAAAAACTGCTGTTGATTCGTTTCACTCTAAAATCGTAAACTTCCAATCAAGCTTAACAGATTAACATCACATCGCTGGCTGGTGATGCAACACAGACACGAGGAATTGCACATATGAAAGCTTCTCTCTGGCATTTTCATGCTTTGACCTCAATGCCCAAATTTTGGAAATAACTGGACATTACTAAAACCTCAAACTAAAATTACACAAGCTAAAAACGAAATTACATAAAATACTTCCACTTCATTTAATGTAAGGGCTCCATAGATAATTAAAAATATCTTCCGCCTAACGAGACAGTGAGCTGAGGATATAGAAATTGAAATTAGGTAGAAAAGGTCACCGATTGTTGATCTCCTTTGACGAGCATTGACGCCAAAGGGCATGTTTGACTTTCGAAGAGAAAAACATATAAAGGTTTTCTATTATTTAAAAGGTAGTTTTGCGGAAGTCTCTTTGAAAAAGCAGCCTTAAAATTTAGAGTATTTCTGTATTTTATGAGGTGACTGAATGAAGCAGTCATATATTTTTTTTAATTCCTATAAGTCCTATAAATTATATTGTGTATTTGTCACTGGTCAATGAGAAAAATAATCGGTGCAAAAAGTCTTTTTGCATTAAAAATAAATATAAAACAAAATTGATTTCTAAAGCATTCAGCTGTATAAAACATGCTCATTAAAATCTTCACATTCATGTCTCCACTATTATAAACAGACAATGCAAATCATGACCCGATGATTAAGCTACCTGGACGTTATAATTTTAAACACCAATAACTATTGTTACATTGATGATTTAAAAAAATATAACAACAATAAGAATTTGGTGTCTACTATCAGATTTTTCTGTTATTGGTTGCTGATCTTTTTCACATTCATTCTTTTGTCCTTTGGAATTTTAGCGTCTCACACATTTCCAACTAGAGCGTGACAGTTTCGACTTGTGACATCTGAGCCTTTCTCCAAGAACAACAATGCAATGGGAGATAACACAGATAAAAGTACTGAATGTACTCAAAGCTCAGGACAAACCTATCAAAGTCTCAACGGACTTTTGTGGATCAGAACCCCCAAGTCCCCACTGCGTTCACCCTCCCTGCTCACCACAGCTGGGTCCTTACAGTTGCCTGTGGACAAGACGGAACAGCAGAAAGCAAAGACCAAAACTTACCATAATAGTGGTTACAACCACTGTCCTGTTCTCAATAGCTGCTGTGTCATTGCCAAGAGTGGGTACATCTTGAATCAAGACTAATTTATCCATATCGTTCCAGTAACCAACCTGCCAAAGAGAGAAAATGATTGAAAACACGTTTGAGGAGAGTTTTCTCTGTTTCTTATTGGAACAATGAGAATATTAATAAGAAACCAAAAGGAATTTAACAAGCAGATGAAAAACAGTTTGAAAGTTTTCTTCATTGATGATGAGCTAGTCTTTCTGATGTTAATAGTGATACTGCCTGATTATACATTTGGCAACTTTACAATTTAGAATCACGGGGTAGCCAAGACCTTGGGAATGAGGGTTTGAAAGGAACATGGGTACAGATGGAACAGCATTGTATGTTGATCCTGTCTTCTAGAGAGATGGACTGGCACCCTCTAAAATGATAGGATTTTACCAATAATGGTACAGGTCCTATGGTAAAGGAACAGCCATATTTACAAAGGGGATATTATATGATATTTTCAAGCAAAAATGGTTGAAAGCAATATAGAAACAGTTTTTGGTTTGACATAACCTAGCACTTAGGTAATAGTCTTATAATTTCTAAAATGTTAGATACATCAGAGATTAATATTACTGAACAATATTTTCACTTTCAAAGGTTACATTTAGGTTCGTATTTATTTACTTTTAAGTGAAATCCTTATCTTACTTTGTTGTTTAGATGTGATGCCAACTTCTTTTCATAAAATACATTAAGTAATTAGTTAAGCACTTTATTAAGTAGTAAACTAAAATGGGGTCTTCCTTTTTTTTTTTTTTCCTTTAGAGAGAGAAAGGGAGAGAGAGAAAGAGAAACATTGATGTGAGAGAGAAACGGGGCCAAACCCGAAACCTGGATATTTGCCCGATCTGGCCGGGAATCGAACCCGTGACCTTTTGGTGTATGGGATGATGCTCTAATCAACTGAGCCGCATCAGCTAGGGCCACAACGGGGTCTTAAAGGGAAAGTTAGGGGGCTTTGTATTATGCAGACCATTAGGTGACAGAAACAGCTCCCATTTATTAACTGCTTGCTCTGCGACAGACACTATACTCAGTGTTTTTAAAAATATGCATCTTAAAGTTTATAAACAAAGCAAATGGAGAAGTAGATGCAGCTATTTCTGCATTTCAGATTTGAGAACCCATATAAGAATGTTAAATAAATTTTCACAAGATTATATTCTATGAAGGCCAGAATTCAAAACTCAGGTCTGTATGACACCAAATTCATATATACTTTATTATTATGGTCCCAAAATAAGTGTTTAGTTAATGCTTGCCAAACCTTTTTCTTAAATTTCTGGATGCAGTTTATAAAACTCGTATGTCCAATAAAATGTATGTAAAAGCTCACTAGACTGTCCACTATTTGTTTTAATATGTTTAGGAAGTCTCTCTTGCTTCCTGTAGGTTTCTTAACTGTGTTAACATCTGTGCACATATTAAAATAAAGTAAGCATTTGACCTGCCCTGGCACTGACCAATCAGTGGAGACCACGACCCTGAAGGAGCACCCCTGGAAAGCTGGTGAATATTCTATTGAGACCCTCCCCTGAGACCTCCCCTAAGAGTCCCACCTGCAAGAAAGAAATAAATAGGCTCAGGGCAAAGGACCCAGAGCTTGCTCCCCATTCGGAGAGAATGCCAGCACCATCTCCATCCCTCCGAGGGGACCCCACAAGACTTGCGACCAGGGGAGCAGTGGGCAGTGGCAGCTGGTCCTGGGCTCACCCCCTGAACCTGTCTCCAAGGCCCCTTCTCTCTCTCTGACTTCCCAGTGAGCCCCCGCAGCCCAGCCTGGGCTCTCCTGTCGCTGCTTCTATGCTCTGCCTTGTTTCACTGTCCCAAGTGTGGTTTTGCTGCCATCACGGCCTAATACCCTTTGACTCAGTGCTGTGTAGCCCTTTCCTTTGGATACCCCCATCCCCTTTTAAAAAATTTAATTTTTCTTTAAAAAAAATAAAGTAAGCATTAACATGTCAGAAAGAAGCACTATACTATTTACAAATAGCGCATATATAACTCAATAACAGAATAGGTGGAGAAAAGGAAGTTTCATGAATACGGCTTGCTGTACTTAGTGTGATCTGAAATTATGAGTGTGTGTGAATTCAGCAATTATTTCCAATTGTCCACATGAATTCATGCGTAGCTGGTTTTTATTTAATAATTCAGTGATAAATTTAATTTAAAAACAAGTATGCCTTGAGGCCTACCATCTCTCAATCCCTTCATGTACTTAAAAAAACACGCCAGCGTGTCAGCTGCTTCCTATTGATTCTCCTTTCCAATGACGGTCGTAGGAGATGGAGACAGGTTTTAGAGCTCAGCCTTCACTAAGCGGCAGCCGCCCTCCGGACCTCAGCAGCCCATGCTCCGGGAAGGACAACTTTTCCTTATTAGCGAGTTCCCACAACAGCAGCGCCCAGAGCCGGGCACATTCTGGACAGTCCTCACGTGTTGGCCAGGCCTGGACAGTTTGCATTTAAAACAGCCTGTGGGTTCGCAGCTATCTATCCCCCAAATATAAATGATTAGAAATGCCGACAAATTAAAGTAATAAGCAAAATTGTACCCAACTCTATCTATTTGCCTTATATCCATGTACAATTCTGGTAAAAAAAAAAAAAAGCCATGGTGTGTGATGTGGGACCACTTAATGGTAGATCTCATGTGGGCCATGGACTTAATTGGAAAGTAAGATTATATGGAATGGACAGCGATACAGGGGTCACTTCCTAAAGAAATGAATCTGAAAGTTCAGAGCTAGAGCCTCACCTGACGTGGGATTTCTCTCTCTAGTTCTTCATGACATTTTATAATTTACTAGAACTTTTCCCAAGCCTGATCTCCTTTAACCAGACAGGAAACTAGGCATTTTTCCTAAAGACAGAAATTGGGTGAACAATAGTTTTATAATGTGTGAGCAAAAATATGGAAGCATTCAAATTACTAAACTGGCAAGGGGTGTCAGAAAATATTTGTCTTCTTTGGACTTATAAAGGTGAATTGTGTGCAAATCTCATTATAATATAACGTAAGAGTGAACATCTCTGTACTTATAGTGGACTTTGCTTGCAAAAAAGGGGTTGGGTAGGGAATGAAGGACTGTGAGGAGCCCCTGTTCTACTCAGACTTGGTTCCTTGGAGAGTTGATCTGATTAGACTCTTCCTGAAAATATGGCTTAATTTCAGCCCTAAAGAGAACTTTAACAGGCCCTGGGATTCATAACATTTCTTAGCAGTCAAGACCGTGAGCTCTGGAGCCGGGCAAGCCTTGATTTCCACTCAGCTCCATCTCTTTCTAGCTGAACATCCCTGGGCAGGTTACTTAGTTTCTCTGAGCCTTACTTTTTTCTTCTATAAAATGAGAAAAATATATCTTACTATCCGGTTGTTGTGAGGATTAAATTTAAAAATGCACATCGATTTTCCATTACTGTGTCCAGGATACAACCTGCTTTCAATAAGCGTACTTTCTACAATTATGAATTTCTGAAACCATGCAAGTCTGACCCTGGAGCGTTCCCTCTGGGGGTCACCAGGATGACAGGAAGGTTCCACCATCCTTAGAAACTTAATGAAACCCTCAATCAGTTTCCCTGATACAAAAGCCACACAAACTCAGGGTTGACTCTGATCTATTTCCAAAGGCAGCTTCCTTGCTGGCAAGTGTTCAATTTACAAGAATGACGGCTCTTCCCAGGTGTGACACTGTCTCACCAGCATAGCGTTTCTCATGGTAGTTCATTTTTAATTTTAATATTCCTGACAGAATGTCCAAGTTGATCATTGCCTCAGAAAAACGTAGATGTGTCTACACCATTTAAACTTCATACTTCCTTGAAGCGTCTTAGATGATTGTTAGCTGAGCATGAAGATGCATTGTTCCCCCCTCTCCCAACTTAGTCTTCAACTTTCACCTCAAAAAAGCTCAATTTTTGTTAGCATCCTGGCTCACTAGGCCATGAAGGATTCAGTACTATAAATAGTCCACTGGATGTTACCACTAGTTACTGCCAGCTTCTTTTCTTCTATTATCCTTTCTTTCATAGAGAGATCATTTTACTTTTTGTACTTACTGTTTTATGAAATGTGGAGTTGTCTTTTGCATTTTGGGGAACTTCTGCTTAGGGCTAATTTTGCAGGATTTAGTTTGTGGCAGGAAGGTGTGCCTGTTTTTACCTCTGCCCCCCGGTTAGCCAGTGTTTCTAGGGGCCTGTGGAGTATTCTGTCTGCTCCACAGGTAGCACAGGGACTTTGCTTACAGTGGGCCTCTTTCCTTCTTGTTGGCCATGTGCTGACAGAGTGAGTCAAGTCAGTGTTCACATAGAAACCCCTAAATTTCTCGGGAATATGTCTCAGTCCCTTGCTGGGGGCAGTGTTCTTAGAGGAGCCCACCATGCAGCTTGGCTTCCCAGCTCTGGGTCAGCCAGGCTCCAGCCTGCCCTGTATTAGCTGTCAGCTAAGCCAAGGAGGTGCCACAAGAGGCTGAAAAGCTAGAGATGGTTTTCATGGCAGCTCAAAATCTCCCCTCACAAGTATGCAGAAGCACGTGCTATGAAAGACCTGAGCAAAATACAACTCAGAAAGCCTTTACCGTTTCCATTTATTAACTGTCCTTCCTACAACTTGTCTTCAGGTTCTTGCCTCTTCCATTTTTACCTATTCAAACTCTAACTTCATGGTGAATGTTAAACCCCACCTCCTCCAGGCAGCCTTCCTCGATTTGTTTTCCTCCAGCTGGAAGTGATCTCTTCCTCCTTGGAATTGCCACATGCCTTCTCTTTAACTATCATATGGAACTTGCTGTATTCTACTCTACTACAAAATAAACTCCCTTAGAGCGGGGTCTACTCAGGAGGTAATGATGTAGAAAGTTTCTGGGGTCAGATATATCTGAGTTAAATTCTTTGTTTTCTCACTTACAGGCCTTGGACAAGTAATCATGACCTATTGGACCAAAGATTTTCTCATTGGAAAAAGGGAGATAATAGTACTAACATTATAGTTTATTGTTAGGATTAAATTTTATCAAGTCCCGAGCTTGGGACACAGCAGACTTTTTATAAATTGTAGCCATCATTATTATAGTAAAGCAGGAAAGTATATTTGGGAAAGTTTTTTGTAAACAGTGAAGTGATGAAATAAATAGAGTTTTTAGATAATAACTTGAACATTTTTTTCTTTGGGCATCCTAGCTAATCCTAGAGAAACAAAATGTTAAAAAGTATGTGTTAATTATATGGGAATAAAATGTATATAGCCAATTACTGTGGTGGAACTGTACAGTTTAATTGTATATTTTTTAGATGTTGGGAAGACTGCTTATCTGCTCGGTCACATTATAAGACCAGCAGAGTTACCTCCCCAAATCCAAGGACCTACCACGTACAGCTTCCTGAACAACCTCCCTGGCCCTTCGGTGTGAGTTTCTTAGGTATTTCTCTCCCTCTTCAGCCTAACACTGAGCTTAATAATCTTCTCTCTGCTCTCTCCTTTGCTCACTTGAATGAGCTTACTTGCTTACTTCAAGAACATCCAGCTTGCTCTAAATATGCCCCCCATTAGAAACCGTTTTCTTCATTGTCCCTTACAAATGATTGCATGCAGGTATCTCTTACCTGCATTGTATGTTTTCCTGCAACATGAATTTTGTTTTGTGGGATTCTTTTGGCTAAGTCTTTAAAAAATACATTGAATTCATTTTAGATAAAGGATATAAAGAATGTATAAATTAGTTTGTTTCCACTTTGGCACATGATTATCAGTTATATTTTAGCACAGATTCTGAGGACTGTACTATTTGTAAGTACACACATTAAAAATGTAGACTATCCAGTTACCTTTCACCTATAAGCCTTTAAAAATGTCAGATGCAAAGTAAGCAAACATTTCGAGCGTGGCTCACCTTTCTCGGCCCTGTGCTCTTTAACTCAAACACATCCATTGTGTAATTGACCCTACGTCCATAGTGGTCAAACTGAACGTTCCCTGTCAGTCCTTGAATTCGAACCTATAAATGAAAAATAAAACAAACCCAAACGTGTTTATTTGCTATTTCACTTACAGAAATCTTAACTTTATCTGCTAAGCTTATAGTAGATATAGGTGCTGAACTATAAACTATAGGCAACTCACTAAAACCCGATGGGGTATTTGAGCTCCTGGGATAGAATCTGAAAGAGAAATATTCAACCAGACGTATAAGCAATTCTACTATATAACTAGAAGATGAATATGTTTTTTTGTTTTTTATATTATAAAGTTTCCATTGTAACTGACAGATACTCCTCACTATTGAAGTATTGTTTATAGGAGTGGAAATGTGGTTTGTTTATAGTTACTTTTCAGTTTTATCTATAGATGCACATAATAAATGACCCTGATAACCACATCGGATCATACTTCTCCTTGCTAACATTAAAAATAAGATATAAGGAGTTCAAAATATAAATATATTTAAAAATACTCACATGCGTTTTATTCCAAATTGCCTTTTTTATTCATTTTTATGTAACCTGTTCTGAACCCATGGTATTTCAGTGCATTTAAAATGTAATTTTAAAAATATAAACATAATACATTAAACATCTGAAAAATAGTGTTAGTATAGCGATAAAAGATCAAAATAAATACATTATTTAATCTAAGGTTACAAGGCAATTTAAAGATCTACTGAGGTCATCATTAGTTGTGTTTGCTGAATATGTCTGGTTCTTCCCCATTCTAGGCCCAAGGGAAGCTCATATTTCCTGAACCTCTTGTGGTTAGTGAGGCCTGTGTGACTCTCTTCTGACAAATGAGTTGTAAACAAATGCGATGAATGTCACTACTGGGCCAGAGTTTAATTGTCACATTGAAACCTTGCCACAACTTTATTTCTCTTTGTAACAATTAAGATGGTAGCTGCTGTCAGCATGGATCCCTGAGTGATTACAATAAGCAGAGTGTCCCTGCTGCTCTAGTGTGTGTGTAAGAAACACTCTTTTATGGTTGTAAACCACTGGAACTTGGGGTTGTTTGTTAGTACAGCATAACCTAGCTTATCCCGACTAAACATCTACACAGGATATAAACACCAGTATTCTACCCAGTGTTCTATTTAGAAATGTCTCAAAAATGATAATCGTTCAATATATTAAAATGGCAATTGTTATATATATTTACTTTCAGATACGTTATCCTGTTTTCTTGAATACTCCACTTAAACAGGCATGTGAAATAAATGGAACTTAAATAAAACTGTGAGTTACCTGTTTGAGTGTCCTTTCCATGTCAATTCCCTGGCCCCATGGAGCAGCAGGATTTGCTAGACAATCCCCAGCATTGCCTCTCCTTGAAATATCAATTTTCTGCCTTCTAAGACTTCGAAAAGTTTCGGCCATCACCAGGACGCCATCATAAGTCAGAGCGGATGTGTACTAAGAAAATGAAAGTAAGTATAATGGTAAATGTTAAAATCTTATCCGTCACCGGGAAGAGTCTGGAGGCTCTGTGGGTTTATGACATAAGGCACCATCCCATCTGAGGCCCAGTTAAATTACTGATAATTGCCTGTAGCTTCAGAGATTTCTATTATCACTTGATTACAAAGACCACAGGTCCAATCTTAGGACTCTGATTGGAAAATGAGAGAAAACATATTGAAAAGCAGAAATTCTAATGCAGCTGGAAGAAGCAAGACCTTCAGGCGAGATCTTTTCCTTATGTCCAAGTAGAAACACTGAAGTATATAAAGCTAAGTGAGAGTTGGCGCCACCTGCCTTGTGGCGTGTTGCTGTGGTGGAGCCCCAGGAGGGCTGGGCTGTCTCACTCTTTCTCTTCCAAATTGCCGAGCTGGGTTCCTTGAGATTTAATATATGTTTATTGCCGTGAAGTGTATATCTTTGTTCAGTTCCTCAGAAGAATGAGTGGGAATGCTTATCGTTACTCAGATACTGGATGCCAGAAGTAGCATCTGCTTATTTAACAGATGTGTTTGGACCAGTCACTGTGCTAAATAAGAGTGAGTATTGTTATACTGGACAAAGGTTCAATTCCCTGGGTTAGATGCTTGGTCAGTGAGTGTGCTTGAGGCAATCAGTTGATGTTTCTCTCTCTCATAGATATTTCTTTCTCCCCACCATCCCTCCCTCTCTAGAATCACAGCATATCCTAAAAAAAAGCATATAATATCTTTAATGGAAATTCTCATATGTAAAGTAATAATAATAATAATAGTAAACCACATGAGCTAATATCTACCACTTCTACTCTTAAATTAGACATTTAGAAATTATTAAGGGCCAGTGCAGCACAGTGATAGCGACAAAATGCTTCTGCTCCACCAAACCATGTCTAACAAAATATTACTAGAAAAACTGCATCATGAACTTTCTACCTTAAATTTTAAAAGTACTAAACATACATAAGGTAAAAGAGAACAAATACCTTTGGAGGAGTCTCAGATCCTGGATACTCTCTCTGATCGAGTTTCTTCCAGCGGTCCATTAGCTTGGTTACAATAGGTGTATTAAAATCTACCAACTGGAATCCTGTAACATTGGCTCCACCGTGTATAAACCTCTCAAGAGAAATATCCTTGAATCCCTATAAAAATCAATATGACAGTTTGTTAAGTTTAGTTCATTATTATACATTTCAGCTCTTCCATGGTAACATAAATTAATAAACAATATGTGTATATAACTAGATTTCTAATAAAGTAATGACTGGAAACAGGTGGAAGATCCAATCATGTCAATTTAGCTGTTAAATTCTGCCATTCAAAACCTAACACATGAGAAAAGTGTTTTCAGTTTGGTTTAACTCAATGTTTTTCTTAAATGCCTCTGAATGCTTGTTATGAAGCACATGGGGAAGGTGGATACAGGAGATGAATCTGACATCATCGAAAAGTCTCCTGTTGAGGACACTGTTCCCCTCTGGGACAGATATGTAGAAATGTGTCTTACGTGAAGATAATATCAAGGTATCAAGGTATGAGTCTTTGATGGGTTATACCTTTTTAGGGGTTCAGTTTAATTACAAAGTGGTCTAAAAGCAGACAGAGCTGGTAATTTGAGCCAGGGAGGGTAAAAGCTTTGATTACATCAGTCACTACAATCCTTATAATCCTGGGAGATTGTAGTGGAAGAGAAGAGAGCAAGATATAGGCCAATCATGGACTCCTGTGTGGTAAGAAGAAAGATGGTGCCCACCAGGTGGAGTGAGGATGCTGGGAGGGAAGGCTGTCATCTCTTTTGGTCCAGGGTAGTTAATCGAATTGCAATAATGCTGAAAAGTTATTTTCTTTCTATTTCTCTGTCTATCTATCTATCTGTCTGTCTATCAATCATATCTATCTATCTGTCTATCATCTATCTATTTATATCTATCATCTATTATCTATCATCTATCTATTATAATCTATCTATCATCTATCATCAGTCATCATCTATCTAATTTGTTTTGTATCTGTTCCTCCTTTCCCCCCATTAGGTATTTAAAATGCCTTACAAAAATACATACTCAATACAAAGTGTAAAACAAAAAATCAGAAGGAGAGGGCAAAAAGCTTATTAGGGGAGTGAATTAATAAAACCAAAGATATTAGCTCAGGGAAAAGTAAACAACACGCACACACAGGTACATGGTTTGTACGTCTGTGTTTGCATTCTTTTTTGTTTCTCTTAGATGCAGTAAACTTTCTTTTGAAAACGTGAATTTGATTAGATTGTCACAGGAACTAAGAGAAAGTGCCTTGTCTATTTTATTTTATTTTTTGTGGAAGTCAAATATGCAGCAGTGTCCTTGCAGTTACGCTAGGAATCAGCTCAGGAATCAGGGGTAAGAGGAAGGCCTGGTGTTGCCCATCCAACTGACGGCCTCTCTGCCCTGCTTTTGGAAACTCTTGTGTGTTTTTTTAAAACACAGAAGGTTGTCTTACTAGCCAAATCATGCACATCGCTGTTCAGCTACCTAAAAGGAAACAGATCCGTCTACTGGCAACTCAGCAAAGTTGTTATGGAAAACCCCAGGAGTGTGTATTAATAGCTAATATTGATGCTGGACTTATTATGTTATCAGGCACTTTGTGTGGCACATTGCACAGATTATCTAGTTTAGCTCTCATAACAAGGTTACGAAGTAGATCTTACTATGAGCCTTACCTTATGAAAAAGGAAAACTGAGGCTCAGTGGGTTGCAGCAGAACTATTCAAGCTCACCCAGCAATTATGTATTAGAGCCAAGATGACTCTTGAGTTTGCCTTTTTAATTCCATGCCCCTGTGTATTTTTATACAAATACGTGAGTGTGTGTGTGTGTTTTAATTTTGGTGTTTATCATAATGTCCCTAGGAGAGACAGGGTAATAATACTGTAGAAAACAACCTAGGCTCTAAAGCCCACCTCGGTAACTTTCCCACATGTACCATGATAATGCTAATGCTACTGTAGCGAGCACATCTGGTTTGAATTCAGTAAATAATAGCTATTATTAATTCATTATTCAACAAGTATTTATTTATTTCAAGCTTATTATGTGCCAGCTAATTTGACAGCTCATCAGTAACATTCTCATTTCACCGGGAAAGGAACTAGACACCAGAAAGCAAATCTATGTTTTTGAAATGGGGGAAAATACTGTCCATCAATCTCTAGCTAGTAAGATGTCAGTTGAACATTTGTTTGTTTCTATGAGAATATAGGGCAGACCCACAGGCAAGCAAATAATTTCAGTTTTCTGAGAGCCACAGTGATTCAGTGATTGCATTAGTTGCTAATTGATGACATTTTTATTTTCTTTCAGCAGTGGCTACAATAGAAGGCCTGCCGGGCTTCCTTTCACAGCATATCCCTCAGCTGCAAGATGCACAGGCAAAGCTACAGCCTTCAGAAAAATCATCTGATGTAAAGTCTGGGAAATAATAGCTCACATTTCTCTGATTCCACCCTGCTGCTCTACTGAAGGTAAAGGGAAAAATACTGCCACATCTGCTTATAAACTCCTTCCAGTTATGACCTAAATGAATGGTGCCTGGCTAAGTTAATTTTAGTTACGTCTGTTTGAGTACAGGCAATATTTTTTCATTTTGTATATTTTAAAATAGTTTTATATAGGAAATTGGTAGGATCTAGACTGTGAAGCAGTTTTGTTGGAAACAGTTATTTCAGTGGTCATTTAGGGTTCAGTTTTTACCCAGAGAATATTGTGGAACTTAAAGTTCTGGGTGACATTGTAATAAAATTGCAATTCTGCACTGGGGGAGGTTAAGTAACTAAGTAAACAATGCCCCCTGTGGCAGTGGGAGGAGAGGGGAGAGGTTTCCTATGTGTTGAAATGGGTTGTTCAACAAAACCTGCATGCCACAATGGTTAGTGACCTCCTACGGAAAGATCATCTTTCAACTTGGTTTTCCTTTTAATTTCCATTTACAGTCCATACATCCTTTGAGGGAAAAGGGGGAAAAGGAAATTAATAACTTATAGACCTTTAGATAATCTGATGGCCATTGATATAAACCTGTATATGTCCATCACATCATAGGTATTTAATAAACGTTCATCCGTTAAGTTTTATCTAATGCAGAAAACATTCGTGCTGTTCTGCATTTCAGGCTCACAGGTTATCTGAATCATTGAGACAGCTCTGGTACAGGTAACAGAAGGAATGTCAAGTCGAATGAGAGAGAGTCCCTCTTAACATTGCTTAAGCTTTAGGTTGCTCAGACACTGATTAAATTATGCATTTTTGATGATCAACATAGATAGGTGGTGGAGTCGGACATGCTCAATGAAGGAAAGTGGAAAAATATAAGAAACACAAAGAAAAAAGTAAAATAATGTCTCCAAGTTCAAGCATCTTAACCAGGGTCATTGCATTTGAGTAAAAATGTGTTAGATTGCAAATTTTGGGAACTGAGTTCTAGTCCCCATTCTGACACTACCCATTCATTTAAGCATTTCCTCTACCGCCCTCAAGGGGGATATGGCCTTACAAGGTTATCTATCCATTGTTGAAAACCGGGTATTGAAGTTTCCTACTATTATTTTACTGCTGACTTTTGATACTTGCTTTATATATTTAGGTCCTCTGATGTTGGTTATATATTTATAAATGTTACAGTCTATTGATGAGTTGATGCCTTGACCATTATAAATGACCTTCTTTGTCTCTTGTTAGTTTTGGCTTAAAGCCAATTCTTCTTACATAAGTATAAATTCTCCTTCTTTCCTCAGTTTCCATTTGGATGAACTATCTTTTGCCCTCTCCTTCACTTTCAGTCTATGTGTGCCCTTAAATCTGAAATAGTCTTTTGTACGCAGCAGATAGTTGGGTCTTCTTTATTTTATCTATTCAGCCACTGTCTGTCTTTTAATTGCAGGATGTAATCCATGTTCAGCTAAAGTTATGGTAGGAATGGACTTACTACTGACATTTTGTTAATATTTTTCTAGCTGATTCATAGGTCCTTTGTTCCTTTCTTCCTCTCTTGCTCTTTTCTTTTGTGATTTGATGATTTTGTGTACCGACGTTTTCATTCCTTTCACTTCATCTTTTGTGTTTCTACTATAGGTTTTTGCTTTGTGGTTACCATGAGGCTTACATAAAACATCCTTAGTTATAACGGTTTAATTTAAGCTTATAACAACTAAACTTTCAACACATACAAAAACTCTACAATATTAAACATTCCCTCCTACATTTTATGTTTTTGATATTACAGTTTACATCTTTTTATATTATGTATCCATCTAGAAATTATTATAGTTATACTTCTTTTTAATGCTTTTGTCTTGTAACCTTTATATTAGAATTAGAAGTGATATACCCACCACCATTACAATATTGGAGTATTCTGAATTTGTCTATATATTTACCTTTACCACTGGGCTTTAAGCTTTCATGTTTTCATGCTAGTAATTTGTGTCCTTCAATTTCAGCTTGAAATGTAAACATTTTTTGTAAGGCCACACATAGTGATCAACTCTTAGAAGCTTTTGTTAATTGGGAAAACTCTTTATCTCTCCTTCAGTTCTGAATGATAACTCTGTCTGGTAAAGTATTTTTGGTTGGCAGTTTTTTTTCTATTAACACTTTGAATATATCACACCACTTTCTTCTTGCTTGTAAAATTTCTGCTAAAAAATACACTGATAGTCTTGTGGTGGTTCCTTTGTACACAACAAGTTACTTTACTCTTGCTTATTTTAAGATTNCCTTCAGTTCTGAATGATAACTCTGTCTGGTAAAGTATTTTTGGTTGGCAGTTTTTTTTCTATTAACACTTTGAATATATCACACCACTTTCTTCTTGCTTGTAAAATTTCTGCTGAAAAATACACTGATAGTCTTGTGGTGGTTCCTTTGTACACAACAAGTTATTTTACTCTTGCTTATTTTAAGATTCTTTGTTTTTATTTTATTTAATTATAATGGGTCTCAGTGTGTGTCTCTTAGGTTCATCTTATTTGGTATTTTTTGGTCTTCCAGGATCTGGAAGTGTGTTTCTTTACCTGGCTTAGGAAAATTTTTAGTTGTTATTTCTTTAAGCAGGCTTTCAGCCCCTTTATTTCTCTCTCTTTCTTCTGAGACCTCTATAATGT